CTGGGCTGAGCTCTACAGCCTAAACAATTAATCGATTAGTAACTGACAAAAAAAAGAAAATGGAAACTACTTTGGTAATCATTGAAGTATCATTTAGTAACACTGAGGGCACGCCTCAAGGGAGGGCAACATAATGTGTCAGTCGATTAGTGCACTCCTTGCACACGCATTTAGAGTGAATCGTCATAACTTTGGGGATGCCCTGGTTTTCCATGTAGTGCCACTAGAGGATCAAAGTTTAGATTTACCTGGTTTAAAAGGCTGACACAAACTTTAGAGCAGGCATTCATGCTTTTCATTTAGCTCTGTCAAAACTCTTATGAGTCCAATATTTTCGTCAATGAAAATAAACTAAAAAAACAACAAAGGCCGATGTTCAGAAAAGTTCACAAACATTGCCTGAAACTAGATAACTATTCAACAGTATCTAATCATGGACTGGATCATTCTTCTCTCTATGAAGAGAAAAAGTCAAAGTATTAAATAAAAAATAAATATAACTACAGCTGACAGTATGATATTATGTATATTTTGGTTATCTAACCACTCAATCAGTCTCCAGTTACTGGACACATCTATGACGATGAACTAACTGGAACAGCTCCCATTAGTGTGGCAGCGTGAGCCACAATATGATGTCAGTCCACATACCAGGACAGGAACACAAACATGAAGGCAGCTGTCATGTTCACTAATTACAATTCTCCACACTCAAACAAACACACGCACAAACACAAAACAGACTGCCAACTCCAAAAGTGTTTACAAAAAGTCATTAAAGCCTTTTTACTGAAGCCAGGAATGAAAACAAATACTTCAAACTAATTGTAACCTAGAGGCAAACGTGAACGCAAACACATTCAGTCATCAGCAGCTAGACGGAAGGTGCAGACAGCGACAAGAGGCAGTAACATGACCTCCATGAAATATGTGCTGCATTGTGTACCAGTGCTGACACACACCCACGTAAAAAAACACACTCCTATAGTGACGTATGGCCAAAACCAAAACTGAGAAGAAGGAAGACAATGAAAACCCCCCAGAAGAAAACAAAGACAGTTGCAATTTATTGGGAATAAAGACATCATCAACACACTGACCATTTAAGGAAGCCATTAGAGTGGATGATGACAGGAAAGATTTAATTTCGGTTCAATAAACCTAAAATAAATGTATTTTTTTAATAAATAAATAAAGTACAAGATATTTGATTTCAACTTTAAGTCTTTTAGCAGTAATTTCCCTTCCTAATATGACTTCCATATTTTCTTGACAGTCACTTTGGCATATAACCAGCCATGTCTTATAACCAGTTGCACAAAAAAGGGTAATTTCTCTTCTGATTAGCTGTTGGGCGCTGTAACATGTGGTCAAAAATGTTGTCTATGACCACACTTGATCATAGCCAGGGAATCTGGGAAATAGATCGATGTTTAAAAGTAGACTCAAATGCTTGTGTGATGATCTTGACTTCGGGTTCCACTAGTAAAACTTTGGTTTTTTGTTTCCATTCATGGTTTTGCCCACAAGTTTCCTGGCTCAGGTGAGTGAAAACGAGCCAAAAGAGACATGGCTTGAACTCAACTCAAACAAAGCCCTGTCCACACACTCTTTTCGGGTTCATACACTGAGCGACATTCTACTCACACACATAGGCCCGAAATACACAAATGCACAAACAGGACCTCTGGGCATGCATTAATGGAGAGATGTCAGAGTGGGGCTGCTAAACGGGGAGAGTGTCAGGGCTGTTGGAGGTTCAGCAGTACTCGGGGAAGTGACCTCCAGCAACCAGACCAAATGTAATATTTTGGTCCTCACCAGTACTTGTACTGGCGACCCTCTTGCATCCAAACAAAGTCCATACAGACCGGGCTTGTCATCCCTGTGCCCCCCCTGTGCTGCTTCCTGTTAAATGTGTTAATACTAAAAAAGCTGCATAAAACAGGGCAATTTTATCAGCAATCATACCTATGTCATATGTCTCACGTAAATCTTTTTTACAAAATGCCAGCGTATCATACCATAATACCCATTAGGATCAAGAAAATCTGGGGGGCATAGACAAAAAGTGCACCTGTGATCCTGTGGGACACACACATGCAAGCACACATGCACACGCACACACACTCTCTGAGGCTTTAGGGTTTCTCCGGAAATTACTTTCACTCACAACAAAATAAAGCACCAGTGTGGTAGACGCCATCAGAACAAAATGCAATCGTTTTCTGTTTTGTCAAAAGCTCAAAAACTTGAGGGGTGAACAATAAAAGATGACGCATATTAGAGATGCGCATAAATTACTATTGAGTTTAATTCAAATGAAAACACTTGACTGCAGAAGGCTAATTAAATAAAGACCGTTACTGTTTTGAAAGACTTCAGACCCTGAATGGGTCCTTTTAACAACATGGAACAAACACACAAGAGAAGACAAGGTTCACAAACTGTCTTGCTCATCTGCTCCATGATTACAGAGAGTTTCTACATTACAGTGCTTTGATTTCTTTGTGTCACTCTCATTATGTATCCTTGTTAGGGAAGTGATGTGACCTCAACAAAAGATATCTACCCCACTCTGAAACAGCTGAAGACTGAATGACGATACAGTTAGAGCTGCTGAGTTATCAGATGCATCAGATTAAACATACTGTAGTGGCAATCTAACAACAAAAAGTGCCACTGGAGGGAATTTTAATTCATTTCCAACTCATGGTGGGTAAAAAGTGGAATGTCCGCCGTTAATTATGTTTGCAGTATTTATTTATCAGCAGTCTTAAAAACACCAACAAAAACACAGGTGTAGGCCTATTCTGCATCAGATGAAACTAAACATAGATAAAGTCGAAACGCGCCAGACAACATCTTCACACACCTATGGTTAAAAAACTGTGTGGCTTCCACTAATTCCCCATCCCCATTCACCTGTGTCTCCCCTTTCTACCTACCTGTGGCTGTAATTACCAACCATGCCCAGGTGCGCAGGTGACGTTTGCAGCAGAAAACGTCCACACAACCAACCACACACACATGAAATTGGCAACAACACATACTTTCCGCTACACCTGCACATGAGCAGCCCTGGGTCGGCATGCATTCAGCTAGAATAGGCCTTTCTGGAAATCCAAAAAGCAGCAAACACACTTAACACCACCAGAATTACACAACCATTTGTGTTTCAAAATAAGAAGCATTTTTCACGCTCAGTCTTCAAATGATCTCAAATATAATCTGCTAATTAACAAATAAACAAGATAAAATTGTTACTCATAGACCTATGGCCAAATACAGTGACAAACCATGCAGTGAATGTAGATCAGTAATCGATAATCTTTTCACACTGAAGTTAATTGTTACACATCCTTAAACGTTTTTTTAAAAATTAGTATAAATTAGATGATAATTTAACAACACTGCAAAGGTAACAGCTATGATGCCTCTTTCACAGTCTAACAAGTTGCACATTTAAATACAACATAAATAACAAACAGAGAAGAGTCACTGCATACCGTTCTGCGCCACTCTCTTTTTGATATAAAGGTCTTTTAATACATAAAATAGAACAAACACTGTTTTAATCAAATATTCATGATTTCTTGTAATGTGAGACACTATTATCCTTTTGAGTTAACACCATTGGGAATACAGTAAATGCTGAAAAACTTACTAAAAAAAAAGTTGTTTCATTATTATTCTGCAGTTCTGACAACTGCCAAGTTTTATTTTGTTTAATTGAAGCCAAACTAAGATTCAGTAAAGGATAACACAGCGGGAACTACGAAAATCTCGATTCAGGGATGTCATTATTTTCCACATCATTTTTTTGTTTCTGTTTTTAAGATCTAACTTTATCGCATACCGTATTTTGTATGTATACGGGATATTTTGAATTAACTGTATCGGGGACATACTAAGTTTTAGAAAATAAAAATGTAACATCATGTACCATCGTGCCCAAACCCACTTATAATGACGTCATGGTAAAGGCAAAAAGTCATCGTTAACACTACGGTCTATGGTTAACACTGGTCGAGCTCCTCCACCTAGCGGATACATTTGACCATTACAACAATACAGGGGTAGAGAGCAAGGACTTAGCTGTTAACGTCAAATACTTGTTGTGTTTCAACTGAAATGACTTACATGAGGAACCGTGATAGCTCCGGGCATTTATCTTTAAACAGCAGAGAAGCGTCGAAGAGGAACCTGGCCGACTTTTCGTCTCCAAAAGTCTTCATTTTCACACAGAGTAAGCTAAGCCACGTCAACTCAACTGCAGTTCCCTTTAGTCGACCTCTCGGACTATAAACCCTGCTTTAGCTACAAATGTCGAAAGGTATTTTAAATGTATTATTTTAAAGTACCTAGAGCTAACAAACACGACGCTGCTACACTTCACAGAACCACGTTGGGTCGCGAGACTCTGACGTAACCTTCTTGCTGTGCATTGTGGGAGACTGAGTACATCAGAAGCGCACTGCAGCAGAGTGACTTTTCATCTGTTTTTTATTTATTTATACAGGGTACTCTCTTATACAGAGTGGTTGGTCCTAACAAATACAAGTAAAAAACGTATTAAATAAAACTATAAAAACAAATTATTCATTTAGCCAATACATTAAAAATAAATCTAATCGGAATAGCCAAACTTTTTAATAGCTAATGTAAGATTCTCGGCAGGAATTGCTGAACTAACTAACGGCCCCAGTGTCAAGTTAGTATGCTAGTTGTTGTAATTCAACACCCAGTAATGTTAACAAGCCCAATTAAAACCTCACACTGTTAAAAGGCTAATCTTTCTGAAACATGCCAAATAAACTATTCGTTCAGCGCAAACCAGCTCCATTAGCTACTGATTTAGGCATATCCTCTGATGTCATCATACCTGAGATTTTATTGGACAGTACCAGTGTTACACGACAATGGGTTGTGTTGACATCATTAATGCTGTATCCTGCGCAAATCAGAGCGCCAACAAACCGGCTTTCTTGAGTCCAAGAGCACATTCATTCCAGGTAACTTCTCGTCTCGAAGCATCACCGGAGTCAGTAAAACTCCAAGACTATTGGATCTGTTAATTAAATGCATCGAGCATATCAATGTATTCTGCGGAGAGAAAGAATGCTACAATGTGAAATTGGATATTTAGAAACAGCAGCATCAGAGGGGGGAAGAGCTTACTGAGTGCGCACCGATGGATAGGCTGGGGTGCGGAAACCAAAAGAAGCAACTCGGTCAGACACACGCCTTATGGAACAGAGACGTGAGATGACAGGACATAAGTTACAAAAAGCTCTTGTTCGACATGTGAAGGGATTTCATTCCGGGCTCCCGGCAGTTCAGCTTATGCTCTGCTCGCATCCTGGAGGGCTCGCCGGTCCGGCGCGTTTTACGCACATCTATTACTGGATATCCACCCAGTATACGGTAGGTTCTAAGTCTTTATTTATATTTAAAAAAAATGCAGCAAAATGATAGATAGTTATGCTTTGTATATTTAATTGTAGCTCCGCATGAGCTAAGTTTGAATCAGAAAGAGCCCCTGATGTCATCCTTTTAATCCTTTGTAAGCATTTCTATCATATTGTTTCGCTTTTTGAACTTTAGTAAGAGGAATATTTACTTTAAAGTGAGAAAACACTTTAATACATAGTTTACGATGTAATGCTTATTTATAGTCTTTATTAATAAATTGTGGTTTCAATGCAATCAATATTTTTATCCAAGCAATTTTTCCCAGTGCAGAGTTCTATGTCCTTTTAGTTTTTTTTAACAGGTTACAGTCTACTTCTTTTGTTCTTTGCAAGGTGTTCATGTGTGCTTGCCAAGCCATTTATAGAGGTAGCCTACATTTGATGCTGCCACCAGAAGCACTGAGGGGATACTAAATCACTGGGCCAGTAAAGAGCGCACAGAAATTGATGGAGTAAGCTAAAGTGTGAGGGATTGCTCCTCACTTTGTCCGAGAGTAAATCTTCACTTTATCAGCCTCTGTCAAGCTGCCGCTTCAGCACAAGATTGAAAAAGGCACGCGGTGCAGCACCGCGTTAAGTCAGGTCCACGGATAAACGGATTTTCCCTCACTACCTGGACTAAATTGCCTCGTGATACAGACAGGGCTGCTCACTGTGCCGCCACGTCCTCATCCCGTCCGTGTTACTATGCTGCTGTAATGAAAAAGCTCGAGGACAGAGAAGGAAAAGGTATAGTGTGAATGCTTTCCTGCTCACTCTGGGCTGTCACTGAAAATTGGCACAAATTAATGTTTTTGCTGTGATGAGCTAAAATGCACGATCAAAGACTTTTCGAATACTTGATGTCCACAGTCATAAATGAAACACATTTTCCTGCAGGGAAACGCAAAGCCCATATGGAAATCAATCACAAGGCAGTATTGAGGTGTCAGGAAGTCTCTGAAGGCTGCCAAGAAGTGTGAGGAAACTGATTTCCACAGAGCAATATTAGAAATTAAGTGAATGCCTTGGCCTTAGAGTTCAGGTGTGCACATTTGTGGGAAATGATTCCCTTAAATTTGGCTGACTTACAGGCAATGGAACCTGCAGCCTTTCCTGAATCAATGCACTTTTTTTTCCGAGGACCACACCTGCCTCCGTCCTGCTGCATGTGGTCGGACAGCTCTTATGCCAGCAGGTATCGTCTTTCACCTATAAGGACCTCAGAGGTGAGCAGAGACATCCTAAAGTGTCCTGTCAGCATCTGCGGGGGAAAGCAAATCCCTGCAGCAGCCATCAAGACAGCTATCACGCCTGAAATGCAACACCAACTTCAGTAGTGCAGAGAAAGCTCACGAGAAAGGGCAAAATACACTGTAATGCTGCGAGTGTGCTGATCACAGGCAGCTGAACGTGTTGTACCTCTTTGCGATGACTATGACAACTGGATGGTCCTCTCATATCCCCTGCCTACTGATATGAATCACAATTGTGTGCTGCTATCTGAGGTCATTCCCCTGCAGAATTCCCCAAGTTCTCCCATCTCAACCATTGCTGAGTGTAACAGACAAGCTTTTTTTTCCCAATAATGAGTGTAATTATCCCCTTGAATTAATAATTAAAAGCCATAAGGTCACTGAGTGAGTCACTTTTCATGATGTGTCCTGATCACTGGATGCATTAGTTAGAGTCCTGTGTGTGATAGGCTTGTTAGCGCACTCTTTTCAATCCTGATTTGAGCTTATTTACTTCTTTAAGCAGTGCTCTTTCCCAATCATGCTTATGTTTGTCTTTGAATGCATCATTTAAACAGTAAGCTTCCCAAGCTTGTGATGCATCCGTCTTTAAATCACAGTGTGTGGATGAATAATCCATGGCTGAAACAGAAAACCAAGGTCACTGCATCACTTTCTGGAAAGTCTCTGCGCAGGTTGGAAGTTGTCTTTAAACAGCTTTTTTTGGGGGGGAGTGAACACATTCATTTAACTTCAAGGTTAACATTGCAAAGACTCTGCTTCATTCATAATCAGCAGTATGAGGGCTTTAAGATGCTGTTTCATCAAGCTGCTCTGTGTGATAAATGTAATTTCATATTCAGCATTTGAAGTGATTACTCCCTCCATGGAGATTATTTGAGAAGAGGGCTGAGTCACTCAACTGTTACTGGAAACTGCTCATGTTCAGGCCTAGAGACTTCATTTCCTTTTGTGCTATTTTCGACAAGACATCCTGCGTGGACTGTGCTTCTTTATGGAGGAACAAGAGAAAACTCAAAAAGGAGGTGATCTGGTTATTTGACCTTGTTACAAATTCCTCCTGTTCTGTTTTAAACAATGCCTTGGAGCAAACGTCTTAATAGATCTCAGTATTGAAGTCCATTTTTAGACAATGAGAGGGTGTGTTTCTACAGTCCTATTGTGGACATATACGTATATGCGCTTGGAGAGCAAAGCTGCTGGTATACGGACTGCTTTGGTACACCATGCATAATCAGGTTTAGGAGAACAAAGATGTTAGTTCTACAAACAGTGTTTGTTTGGACGATCCAGGCATCCAGAACCCAAGAGAACAGTGGCTCTTTTCACAAGGCACCAAGGAAAGAGACCCAGCGGAGGGGCCAGCCTAAGTTCTCTGTAAAAAGGTTGTGTATCCCTGGAGAATAACAAGGAGACGAGCTGCGAGGAATAGTAAAGCCTTCTTCCATTATGTGCTTTTCATAATAAAATGATAGAAGGTTGATGTTCAAAGACATGACCTTAAAAGCGTTGAAAAGCTTTATAGGTGAACAGAACTTTCACATTAAAGAGACTATAAGGAAGCCTCTTTGCACTTTAATTCGAATGGATTTGATGTGAGCGGGAGGGTTAATGGAAACCAAAGCAGGTTATCATGGTTTGCCTGCATGTCTGTCATTCAAATGGTATTTCAGGTCACAATCATGGTTGATGTTTGGATACTTCGGTTTACATCTTGTGAAAAAAATGACAGTTGCGTGTATTTTAACTCCCCACAATCATGGCTTGACAAGTGAAATAAGCCAAATGTCTTAAGTCAAAAAACTAGTTATAGTTTAGCATAGTTAAATGGGGTGTATCCAAATGAATGCATGCATGGTTTATACTTTAATAGCTGTTACATTATGGATGGACCAAGCACTGCATTTTACTTCATATGATAATAACCAGCTTAATCAATTGCAGTGCGTAATTTGACAGCTGTATTTTTTTCAATTAGGCTCTTAGACTGTCTCATTAAGAAGAAGTATATACATCAGTGGTATTAATAAACACACAGATGAGGTTTGGGCACTGCCATTGTGTTACATTTTAGAATCTGGTATGCAGATTCTCCTTTTGATTCCTCAAACTATTTCTTTTTTCGGATGCATGACTTGCCATGGCTCCTCTTCTTACGATCTGCCAGGAAAATTAAAATCTGTCTCCATACATCACACATTGTTGCAACCAGCACAATGCCCCATTGTTCGGCAGTCTTTTGTGTGAGTCTTTGAATAGAGGAGAATCTTTTCAAAGGATAAAGTCTTGGAAAAGGGATGCGCGGCACGTATCCATTACATTTATCATCCTGATTATGGAGAATGAGTGCGTCGTATTACTCAACATCAATACTTCAATTACGAGTCCGAGTAATTGCACACAGTGTCTGCGGCGTTCCGTCGGGCAAAGTCATTTCAGTTCTGTCAAAACCCATTGTTGGTCCGCTAATGAAAGGCAATTCATATAAACGATTAAATGTGGAATTTGGGTGGCCTCTTTCTCACCGAGGCAGGTTGCCTCGAGCGGTTGCCATCCATTATTAGTCTCTATTTTTGTCAAATGTCCTTTATGAAGGTAAGGATGCACTCTGGTTTTGATTACAAAAAGAGCCAATGCCCTGCAATGCCTCCTGCATTTGATGTCTGAGATCTGCTATTCCTGACAGCATACCTCAAAAGGATCATTCCCAAGTGTTTGGCAGACTTTTTCTCATTTCTGATAAAAAAAAAAAAAATCAGTGCAATTCTGTCTGACTTTGTTACCTTTAAAGCTTCCAAAGACTCCACTCTGGCCCAAAACCTATTCCATATCCCATCTGTATTCTTCTTTTTCAAATATCGTATTCTCTTTTACGAGCTTTGTATTCAAGATGGGAAAAAAGGGTTAGATGAATTGAATTCTGCCTCCAGCTCTCCTCTACTTTCCTTTTTTCTTTTTTTTTCTTTTTTTGCTTGATTTGTCCTTTCATGTGTCCTCTGAGTTCATATCCCTGTAGTCTCAAATCTAGGTTGGCCCCAATTTCAAACAAGGAACTAGGCAAGAGATAGAAACAAGTCATGTAATTGCTTAGCGTGCTGCATCACAGACGCTGATTTGACTACAAAGGCTGATGTACGCGTTTCTAAAAGATTTGTTAGTTTGGGGAATGAATCCCACACAAACAGAACATTTGAAATTTGAGCTAAATGTCACAGCAAAAGAAGGCCAGTTGATTGTTTTCGTGTTGCCTGTTGATGTTCCTTCTGCAGAAGCGAGGACATGTCTGTGAAGCCATGACATTTTCAGACCTTTGTTTGTGATACACAGCTCAGAGTTCACTCAGCTTTGACCTTTTAATGCCTGTTGCATGACGGCAGACTATCCGAGAGAGGGAGGAAAATGAGATAGTATAACAAAGGCTTGGGATGGTTTGGGAATTGATTGCATGCCTTCTGCTTCTTTGATGACAAACTTCTATCCCATGAGGACAGCTTAAAAACCAGTCTGCTTGCGCATATTTCCAATTTCAACGCCCAAAAGATCTTATTTCTTTTCAGTAATGTAAAAATGATTACACTTATTCCCTATGACATGCTCCAATTCTGCCCCAGGGCTTTTATATAAGGACATAGCAGAGCAGACTGATCTTTTTCTGTGGACCCATGGTACTGGCAGTCATTAACCTTCTAGTCGGGCAATTTGGGCCACAAGGGCATTTTTTTTCTTATCGGCTCTTCACAAGGTGAAAAAGGATCTTTTCATTGGCCAGGTGATGAATGTGGTGTCCATGTGGGTGTTGCCCCTTTTAGTGCTCGCTCTTACTTGCTCTCCATTAGTATTTTTCCTTCATTCTGTTACTCTTCTCTCATTCATTTTCTCTTACAGCACCCAGCCTCTTTCTCTGGTCCCACCACTCTCTGTCACTCTCTGCCTCCCATTTTCTCACATCTGTCGCCTCTGTCTCACACACAGGATCTATTGTAATTGACTTTGTCTCTTTTCTGTCTCCCTCTCCTCTCTCGTTTCCCTCCTCTGTTTTCCGAGCTGATCAGTTGATGCCGGCTCCGAGTTCAAGATGACCTGTCAGCTGGGCCAGGGGCTGCAACACAGGACATGGGTCCTGCCTCTCCTCCCCGCTCGTGTCTTGTGTTGCAGCCAGTGGTGCTGCCTGTCTGCCTCTCTTCCTTTCTGTCTGTCTGACCTCCACTGCTGGAAAGAGCATCGGGAACAGATGGATGGCACGATGCGTGGACCTGCAGACGTCATTCCTAATTTTTTCCTAATTCTAGTCATTTTTGGAGTATTTTTCAAATTCAACATTGTCATACTTCAAGGGCAGATGGATGTTGATCAGTGAGTCTTGTTCTGCTTTAGGTTTTCATCTGCTAAAAGTCAGTTTTTGACACATTGCGAAGTGCTTACTTAATTAGGATTTAACTTGTGTCCCTCTAAATAATAAAAGAAAGGGTAGTATAGACAGGCTTTTTACAAATAGTGTCCTTTGATACCTTTTTGTGTAATTTGGCATTGTATAACTAAAAAATGATTGATTCATTGATTCATTGATTCACTGACTAAATAAAGCACCTTAATGGAAAACATGACTCCTGTTGTACTTGTAATACAAACAGAAACTTACTCAGTGTTCCCAGTTTAGGTTCAATAAATGCCTGAGGCCCTTATGTCCACCTGCATGGTTTAAGAGCAGATGGCTGGTCACCAATGAGTCTGGTTCTGTTTGAGGTTTCTGCCTGTTAAATAAAGTTTTTTTCTAGCCACTGTTGCAGAGTGCTTGTTCATGTTGTATTGTGGTTTGGTCTGTGTCTATAATATAACCAAGAGAATGGTCTAGACCTGCTAAATATGTGAAGTGTGCTGAGATAACTGTATTATTCTGCGCTATATAACAAAAGAAAGACTTACTGATTGTCTGATTGATGGAATAAAACACCTCGGAGGAAAATATTTCTCCTGTAGCAATACTAAAAGCAGAGTGTTCAGTGTTCCCATTCAGGTTTCGATAATTGCTTTTGTTTGTGTCTTATGTAGCATATAGCTGCAGCAACACTCCGCTGACATTTGGACTGTGACATTTAAAGCTTTCACCAACAAGGATTAATATTCCTTCCAAACTGTAAACACAAGGGATGCGAAATGGCTTCTTAATGAGCCTCGCCTTGCATCAAATGAAGCAGCACTTTTTGACTTTCCCTGTGAGCGAACATCATCGAGAAGCATTGGCTCCTGACAGGGTCAACAGAGATGGTGCTTGGGAGGAAAGCATTGGCTGACTGAGCCCATTTTAATGCTTCCTCTTCTTTCTCCAAGTTTCCAAATGAAAAGCATAGATGAAGGGTGTAACTAACCCATTTTGTGATTTGGAGAAGAGACAGTCTCATAAAAGTGTTATCTATGATGGCCCCTTGACTCTACAACAGTCAAGGGGTTAAATATTGGATGCATGTTCTAGCACTACCTAAAAGACGCAAGGCTATCTCCTGCAGGAATATTGTAGATTAAGATATGGTTTGAATTTGTTGTATAATAGAATAACTCCTACTATTTGCCTCTTTAACTATGTAAGCCAGTTTTGCTCTTATTCACTTTTTTCCATGTAGTGTTTTTAAACCAGCTCTCATTGTGTTGGCATTATCCATGTCTGCGTGTGTGAAAGACAGAACCAATGGATAAACTGTAGGGTGAGTAAAAAGGTCTCTATTGGGATCCATTAGATGTTCTGGTTTGGTATGTGTGTATCTTTGTAATAAGTGTTACTTTGGTGCCGAAGTGTTAGGAGAAAGAAAACATTTTCTGACAGGGGTGTCACTTGATTGGAATGTAAATCCGGGTGCCCGCTGTTTTCAATCTCCCCCTACCCAGATTGTTTACCAGCGAGATTGAAAAGGAGGCCGTGTGCTGTGAGCTGATATTGGCTGACTGTGTTTACCTCCATGTTGGTGCAGATGTCTCAGAAGCGATATTATTTATTTACCAGTATGCAGCTCGGAGCGGTGCCAGAAAATTTCTTGACATACCTCCTGGAGTTTCCATGACCTGATATGAAGGTTGGCTTAAAGTGGAATAAAAATGAAATGACATGATATTATTGGTGCACACCATTGGATGGCTGCTGCAAAATAAAGTGCAACCACTACACAGTAACATCGGTTTTAAGCTAAGCTCTTCTGAACTGTGCTAGCTTGTCAAAATATGGAAGTTTAAATTCGAAAGGATGTCATTAGTGTCTTTTTAGACTGATGAAAGAAATAACTGAGTTGGCTCTCTTAACTAAAGTTATAACACACACTTCATACCAATCTAATTATAGTGCATGTAATACAAAGTTAGAGCCAGCATATTGTGAGCTTATTTTAGCATAAAGCATCAGAAAGCCTGACTCTGTCCAAAGATAACCAATTCACCAACCATCACTTGTAAGACTCACTTATTAAGATATCATATAAACATCACAACTTGTTTGTTTGATCGGTTCAAAACCTGACAAAAAATTCATGAAAGTGAATGAGCTAAACTAATTCTTGTGTCTGAGTGCTGACTTATTGTTATTACTTTTGATTGCAGCAACTATTTAAAGCCAAGAAAGACTTTTGCAAAGACGTTTACGTGATCTTACTGTGGGGTTCCCGGATGTGGTCGATCCAATATTTAATCAAGCTCCTTCAGTTGACCATCTTACTGTTAACTTTAACAGCGCTCTTCGGGGCCTCCCTTACTCTGTGGTTCCAGTAATGACTCGGAGGTGTCTTATAAAGAACCATACCCTTTGGTTAAATGAGGATTTACTCATCCTTAGAAAGAGCTGGCCACCTACCAATCTAGGATGTCAGTTGCAAAAGCAGCCTACTATTCCAAATTGATTTCAAATAATAGGCATAACTCTCTAGACTACTATTTGATACTGTTTCTAGGCTCTCACAGCGTGATCAGGCAGTCAGTGGCACTGAACTCTCTGCACATGATTTTTTATGTCAAAGAGCTATAGCCTACATTAGGACCTTATGTTTTATCTATCTTAAACTCATCCCTCTTCACTGGGGTTTTTCCAGCTTGCTTCAAAAGTGGTGTGGTGTGGAAGCCTAGCTTGGATGCTGACTCCCTGACCAACTATAGACCTGTTTCAAACCTTGCTTTATTGTCAAAAGTTTTTGAGAAAGTGGTCTCAAATCAGCTTTTAAATTATTTGTCACTAAATAACCTATTTGAGCCATTTCAGTGTGCTTTTCGGGCAAATCATTCAAGTGGTGAATGATTTGCTACTTTCTATAGATTCAGAGCCAACAAGTGTTTTATTGTTGTTGGATCTTAGCGCTTCTGCTAAGACAGAAATGATGGTTATTGGACCAGCGAGACTGGGTCATCTTTTCAAATTTATTACTGTCTCGATGACTGTGAAATCAATTGAAGAGACAAAATTAAGAATCTTGGTGTGCTTTTCGATCAGACGCTGTTGTTCGATTTACATAAAAAGGAGGTGACCAGAGTTGCTTTTTTCCACCTGAGGAACATCTCCAAGATCAGATCATTCCTGTCGTTTAAGGACGCTGATGTCCTCATCCATGCCTTTGTGTCATCTGGGCTAGATTACTGTTGTGTCCTTCTGTTGGGTCAGCGGGACTTCGAAGAAAAGTCTTCGAAGTCTGCAGATGGTTCAGAATGCCGCAGCTCGTGTTCTGACCGGAGCCTGCGGATATGAACACATTACATGACTTTAAGGTCTTTACCTCTTGACATCAGGCAGGCTAGGTAAATCCTCTTCTTTTGCCTGCTCCACAGGGGTTACTGCAGCTATGTGTTTGTTCTGCCCTCCGAGTCTTCCTTCTCACAGTAAAAAAGTTGGACATGGAGCGAGAAAGTCCACACAATGAGAGACATCCTCTTTCAGAGAGGGTTAGGGTCAGACACAGATATTATCGGCTGGCTGATTTATCGGTCGAGCTCTGGATGATAGTCTACAGGCTGATCTGAACCAATCACAGTAAGATGTACACATGCTGAGTGAGAAAGCATTGCTTGTCTGCATAAATAACGTTTTCTTGCGTTAAATTCTGACAAATCCTTTTATTGGGATAACGACATATCTGCACTTACTTGCGCAGCCCTATAGCTTACCCTGACCTATGTTTTAATTTTGTTCTTTTAAGATGGATAATTATGATTCCAAAGAGGAGGAGAATCTCAAGTCCCTGGTGTCCCACCTCCATCAGCTCCTGGACCCTGCACAAGAAATACAACTGCAGACTTTCAGTCTTTGAGAAGGTGTGTCTTTTATGAAAAACCCATTTTACGATATATAAGTGTATAAGATTAAAACAAATATCTGAAAATTCGGAGCAAGAAAACAAGGGCTGAAATATTGATGTAATAAAAACTTGTGTGATGTTACAGGTGAACTCATTTCGAGATATTTATATCTACTTCTAACAGTAAAGTACTTCTGGTGTACTGTTAAAAACAAACCAAAAGAAACTGTATAAAGTTGAGTTCAGGTGAAATTTGTCCCTAATTAACTTTGTTTATGTTACTTTCACTAAAGTCATATGCACCACTGTGGGGATATATGTCTCTATCTATAGTATCACTTTTAGTTTACAAATTTTATTTTAAGATACAGAGATAATGCTTTGTGGTGGTTGACAGGGTGTACGGAGTGTGGAGTTCTTTGTGCCGGACAAAGAGCCGGCTCCAGAGCTGATTGCCGCCACAGTGGAGAACAGTATCCTGCCTCATGACGAGCTTCTTCTTCAGTATATCAAGGTAAAACAACACCACTGCTGGAACATTAACCCTTGTGCCCTCTTCAAATGTATTTATATTTTTCTGCTGTGAAGTTAAACAACTTCCGACTTGCTCAAAACTAACCAATATTTAATTATTTTCAGGATTGTAACCCTTTAAATGCAAGGTTATTAGTTGAATGGTGATCAGAGTCTTGGATATGTGAAAGATTAGCAACAAAGTTGATTTGATTGCATTAATCTTTTTTATGTACCCTCTGGACACCTTCATGGCCAAAATGTACACACAAAATCAACAATAAAATCATCAATATTTGCTTTTGTATTTTGCTGTTCATTTTTTGCTCTTTTATGGCTTTTGACGGTAGAGAAGAGGGAAAGAGGGAAAGAAGGAAAGAGGGAAAGAAGGAAAGAGGGAAAGAGGGAAAGAGGGATTCCGTCCCCGTTCTAAGGGGTCAGTGAGATACAGGGGGCTTCGGGAGAAATCTCGTGCGAGATGAGAGGTGGGTGTTTGGGGATCACTGTGAATAGGTAATCACTTTTTGGAAGAATGGGCATTTTAATTGTTGCTTTTCTGCTTAGGATGGATAGTGGGAGGTTTATCCAGCTGGTCATTTATTGTTTTCAGTAGTGGACTGAAAATAAGACAGATCAACTGACAGCCTGAGGGACACCTTAATACCTAAATATTAGATGTGTGTTGTGCATAAAGGGATTGGTGTTGTGTGGGATGCCACAAATTAATCTGTAATTATTTAATGGGAGAATGGAGGATTTGTTCCAGTGTATTAAACAATTAAACAATTATTTTATTCGTGCAACAAAACTAATAGTGCAAGGGGG